CCCTCATGACCTGTGTCCCTGCTGAGATGGCTCACCTGTCCCTTGCCTTCTGCTTCTGTTTCCTGATATGCAGGAGGGAGGCAGAGCAGCAGATAGCTCAAGATGTGGGTTTTGGAAACAGATGCCCGGATTCATTCACTTTACTGTGTGACTTTGAATAAGCTGATTGACCTCTCTGTGCCTCCCTTTCCCATTTCATAAAAGTAGGCATGATAATGAGTACCTCATGGCGTTATTATGAAGATTCAAACTAGTCGACATGTATAAAGCTGTTAGGAAGGCACCTAGAAAAAAAGTGGGTGATATACAACTGTTAGATCTTTTGTTTTTATGTTTTTTAATCATTATTATCCCTAGTTCCTGAGATGTGTGTCTGTCTTCTAGCATCTATCTTTCACTATGCTTCCAGCTCTCTCCTGCTTCATATCTGTCCATCTCTGTCTGTTTGTCCATCTCTCTCTCTTCCAGCCTCAGTCTTTCTGAGACCTTGGGTAAAGTACCTAACCTCTCTGTGCCTCAGTTTCCTCATCTGTAAAGTTAATAATGGCATCAACTTCATTGTGGCATTGTGGTGAGTAAATGAGTTATTCAATATAAACAACTTAAAATAGGGCCATGGTGAGCTCTCAACATAATTGCAATGAATTTGACATTAATTAATTAATTGAACCGACTTAAGTTCCCTACTCCTGTCCCAGTGAAAAGAGCTATTATGAAAGTGAGCTATTGCTACTGTTTGTTACGACCTTTCTCTCTCTCCACTAGTCTCTGTCTCCTGTTCTTTCCTCTTTCTGTCTGTCTGTCTGTCTCTGTGTGTCTCCCTCGGTATCTGTCTTTCTCTCTCTTTACCCATCTGTTCAGCACACACACACTAAATGCCTGCCTACTCCATGGGAAACACTGAGTTTTCGGTGTGAACAGAAGAGACCTGGGCCTGTCTCCCAGGAGCTCCCCGGCTGGTGAGAGAGGCAGGTGTTTGAAAAATAAACACACAGACAGTAACATGTGTGTAGATTGTACCAAGGGCTCTGAAGAGGTGTGTAGGATGCTTTGAGAAGAAAACAAACAAACGGAACCCAGGAGAGTAGGGGCCTAGGATTACATGGGGAGCGGGGTCAGGCAAGGCCTTTGAAGTGAAGTGACATTTGAGATAAGGTAAAATGAGGAGTGAGAGTGGACAAGGAAGAGAAGGGAAGAGTGTTGGAGGTACATGGAACAGACCACAGGGTGGCCTAGAGGATGAGGGAGGTTGGGGAGGTGCCTGGAGTCATTCACGGGTGCCAAATCCCTCTGGGAACCTGGCTAGGTCTGAATCACGTTTTGGAGGTGCCGTCCAAAGGACCTGCAGATGGGCTAGAGTGACCAAGAAAAGACTCAGAGGGGACCTGTGAATGGGGTGACACCTACTGAAAGGGGAGGCTTGGGAGCTGGGGCTGCGTCAAGTTGGAGGACGTTTAAACTATCTTTTGTCTCTACTTTAAAACTGACTTCCAGGATGCTTCAATAACCTCTCTGTCTGTGTCATTTTCTCTTTGCTTCTGTCTGTGCCCCTCTCTCTGTCCTTCTCTATCCTGCGTCTCTGTCTCCCTGTCTCCCCCTCATTTAGGGTCTCTACCCCTGTTGTCTCCTGGTCTCTGTCTTTATCTCTTCTTCTTGTCAATCTCTGTGTCTCTGTTCTTTGTCTCTGTGTGTCTCTGTCTCCATCTCTCATCTCCTTATCTCTTGGTGTATTTGTCTCTCTGTCTCTTGTTCCGTGTTTGTCTCTCTCTGTCTTTGTCTCTTGTTTCTCTGTGTCTCTTGTCTCTGTCTTTATCTTGTCTTCCTGTTTCCTCTGTCTCTGTTCCTCTCTGTCTCCCTGTCTCTGCCTCTGCCTCCATCTCTCTCTGTGTCTCTAACTGTATTCCTCTGTGACTTTATTTCTCTATCTCTGGTCCCAGTCTCTCTGCCCATCTCTGTCTCTCCTGGTTTCTGCCTCTCTGCATCCCCTCACCAGCCGGGGTTCTCACCCATAGAACCCCCACCCCTATGGGTCATACTCCACACTGTTCCCATCTGCCAGGTGGAATCATCTCTATGGTGTGACCCCCACACACACTCTGTCCTAGATCCACCGCCAAATAACTGGATCACCTCTGCCTGATTTCGGGCAGGACAGCACATAGGAGAAGCCGCAGAACAGGGCAGAGGGGTGCCATGTCCCTTCTCCCTCCTTCCAGCCACCTCAGCCCTGTCCCCGACTAGGGCCCCAACCTGCCGCCTCTCACCATCCAGACCTAAGACACGTCTGCGCGGCCAGGAGACCCGAACCCACCCTGCATCCCTGCCCCTCCTCCCGGCCTCTTCTGTCCTCATGGTGAGAACAGTGGGTCCCAGGGAACAGAGCAGGGTCGGGGGTCTGTGTGCCCCCAGGAGATGGAATGCAGGCACATAGATGGGGACAGAGCCAGAGACCCAGACAGACACTAAGAAAGGGTTAAGGACAGAGAAATCAGAGAGAAAGAGGGACACGACAGAGAGAGACAGAGAGAGGCACAGACATTCATGCCTCAGTGTCACCGTCAGCTGTCCACACAACCCCTCATCAGCCCCGTCCACACCTGCTCCCTAGGTGATCTCATTCAACCCCAGGCCTCTAAACACCACCTCTCCCAGGATGACTCCTCACTGTTTCTCCCCAGCCCTGACCACTGTCTGCGTCTTGGTGCTCATATGGCCAACCACTTGGCTCCTGACAGGCGCCTCCAGCTCAGCCCTTCTCCCCACACCTTCTAGGTCCTCCACGCAAATGGCACCACAAATGGAGCCACCAACAGACCAAATCTCAGAGGCACCATCCTTGCCCCCTTTTCTCCTCCCTCCCCACTTCCCACCCATCTGCCGGCAGTTGACTCCCCCAC